ACATTCATTTCTTTTTTAGCTGCATAATTTCTGAGTGAGTCTTCCAGAGAATACATGAAAAGAAAAAGGCAGGGAAAGGGTAAAGCTTTATGTCCATTCCTGAGGAATTGCGACTACCTGAAAGTGACATCTTTTGGTCCTGTAAGTAAGGTGTCCCCAGCACGCCTGCAAAGTGTGAGCCATCACAACAGCAATGTTTGAGATGGACCCCAAATTCCTGCATACAACCTTAACAAGTCACCCTTGTCCTTTCTGCTCCACGCTTTCCAGCAGCAGTGGAGAGATTCCCTTTTCCCTCAACAGTTGCTGATCAGAGAGTCGGACCTTTGCTAAGTTCCATCAGAACTCACACTGACACAAGCAAATGCAGAGTGCAGAGGAAGCCCACATCTTCCTCCCAGCCTCTGCACAGGGGGAGCCATGTCTGGGGAGCTGACAGGTACAGACAGCCTTTGGAACAGTGTGAAGGATCATATCCTACACTTACTAGAGCAGAAAGTCATGAGTACCAGAGGGAAAACATTCCCTGCTCAGGCAGTACAAAGGTGTGAGGGAAGGAACCCTCAGGAAGTTGGATGCCTCCTTTACAAAATCAATCACTGTCAGAAGGAAACCGCACAGAGCGAGGTGTACACAGCAACCTGTCACCAGGGACTCAGAGCAGGGATATGGTGTCAGGAACAATAAATAGATCCCACAGACGTCTGAAACCATAAACACATGGGGAAAATGGTTCATAAGATCCTAGAATAGAACCCTAGAATATTCTCAGTTGGACTGATGGTCCTTGTGGGGCCCTTCCAACACCTCGCCCTGCACAGACACCCCAAGAACCCCACCCTGAGCATCCCTGAAAGCATTGTCTGAACGCTTCTGGAGCTCTGGCAGCCTTAGGGCCGAGACCATTCCCTGGGGAGCCTGGGCAGTGCCCCAGTACCCTCTGGGCGAAGAAACTCTTCCTAATATCCAGTTTAAACTCCTCCAACACAGCTTTGTGGTAATTTTGCTGAATTATTTCCCCTTGCACTCTGAGGACAGTTACATACAGTATCACTGGTGGGAGCACCCCACAGCTCACACAATTATTCCAATAAGCAGGAATATTATTTTGAATATTACCATGTGCTGCCACCATTGCACATGAGTTTGGCAGCTTTTTGTTTTTAGTAATTCCACAAAAAAATTTAACTCAACCTTTTCAGAGCTTTAGGACAGTCACATTTGAAAGTACCAATACTTCAGCAGAGTAAGGGAAGACAGAGAAACTAAAACACTCATGACCAACTAATTTCAGCTTCAGCATTTGGTCCAGAAGGACTAACAGCCTGTGTACAGCTGCATGGACAGCAGGTTAAAGATGAAAAAATTTAGAAAATTTAGAGCTATTGAGCAGAAGCATCTGTGCTGTGCACAGTCAGACATCCCGACACAACGAGCCATCAGCATCTATGCTGCAAGAAACTGAATAAGCCCAGAGGGGCCCACAGGCCTGGATTCCTGCATTAGCAGGTACTGAAGGAGAAATGTTTACCCAGACCCCAGAACCTGGATGTTGCAGCAAAGTCAAACAGCCCCATGCAAAATACAGTACAAGACAGATTTCTTCTGTTGGATCATCTCTAGCACAAGGCAGTTGCTCCAAGGCATGGACATTTAACACCATACACATCCCACTGAGGGAATGAGTGCAGAGTACAAGTCTGGCTGTGCTGTGCTGGCAGTCAGTGCTGCAGGGCTACTGTCTGATTGGTGCAGATCAACTGGACCAACTCCAGACTTCTTGCTTTCAGCCTCATGAGCCAGAGCCACAGGACGAGAGGATTTCATTGATGGAATCAGGCCAATGGCAATGATCAGCAATCATCATGACAGGCCAGGAGATGACCCAGCAAAAAGTTACATTGCAGGCTGGACACTGTGCCATACTATATTGGGAATCAGCCTTCTAACATTTCCTTAAGGTTCAAAGCCCCAAGGCGTGGCTGCTGTTTGATTAAGATCTGACATAAAGAACAGTGTCCAATGAATTCTATAATTATCATATGAAAATCCTGGATGTCCAAGACATGCCATAAACACAAGTACAGTGAGCCACATTGCAACAACCCAGTATTTGCCTTCTGACCCCCAGTACTGATTCACTCATGACAAGTCAAGCAAAGCCATGTCTGGAAGTGCTGAGGAATGCACTACACCAACTGGGAAATGCAAAGCCCAGAAGTCTATTCCTCCAATACGATCAGGAGGAGCCCTGCATCCTTCTAATGTTCATCTACCGTGCACAAGTTTTTGTGTACAGGTACTGAAAAAAAAGAAAATAAAAGGAGAAAAAAAAGCTGTCACATCTCAAACAACAAACCAGACACACAGTGACACCTTTATCAATGGTTATGTAAACCATACTTTCAACTTCCTGTAATGCTCATCAGTAGTGAGATAAAGGGATCAGCAGTCTGGAGGCTTCAAGGATTTTCTTTATATTTTATAACCACAACCTAACACATGGAACACAGATTATTCAATACTCTGCTGCACTTGAAGCAAAACGCAGCAACATATGTAATGATCATAATAAAATACTTTACTCAAACAAACCCAAGCTTTGGCTTTCAAATCAATTCTTGAATGCCAGTAATTGGCCTCCAGACAGCTTCTTATGCTAGTTCAGTAAGTCATGAAAAACCACATTCCAGGCAGAAGTATTTTCTGCCCCATGTTTCATTAACAGACAACAAATTGAGAAGAAATGTATGTTATCATTCAATGTTTTACAAAAAAGCAAGCATTATCAACTAAACATTGATTTTAATTCTGCAAACACAAACAATATAGGGAATTTCAAACACAAAACACTCTGATTATTAAACTTTACGGGGGCACCAAAAGCTTTGACTTCATTGAAAAGAATTAAACTGATCCAAAAAGTATAATTCCAACAAAAGCAAAAAGGTGCCCTCCCTCCTGTCCAGGCCACTCAACCTGCTCTATCACACATGCCTATATTATGACTTATCTGACCAGAAACCAAGGTCAGGGAGCTGAACAGGTTTTTCTGCAGCTCCAGTTTCCTGCTGTCTGCCACAGGGTCAGAGAAATGCCAAGTGAAGGCACAAGAAAAGCAGAACTGTGCCATAGGATTTTTCTGTTCAGGGACTGCTGCATGCACATCTGTTTAACAGAGTTTGAGAACAGAGAATGTAATGTGAACATTGAGGGGCAGAAACAAAAGCAAGAGGAAGAAAAAATGCTCAGAAGGAGCCAGTTCTTCAGCACTGATATTCCAGAATTATCAGTAAGCATGGAGACGAATGGTAACGGCTCCTAATAGTGTTGCAAGCAAATGAAAAATTAGGTAGCAACAAAATTCAGAGGTGTGACCACAGCAGCAATACAGAATCCAGCACCTGCAACCACTTTAGAGAAAAGCCAGTGTTCTGTCCACAGGCACTCAAGGACTCTCTGCAACAATAACAGCAATTTTACTTTTGATTCTTGAGGTTAAGAACAACCTTGAGCACACAAGTGTGTGTTTTGGACTTTAAATTACCAGCACTGTCAAATTCCAAGTTAAAGTTAACCAAACTTAACACCAGAGTGTTTGATGCTACAGGTAATAGTGTGGAGCAGGCTCTCAACTTCAGGCACTGAAGTCTCTTCCCACTGAAAATATCCTTCCTTCCCACACAGGTGATTCTGTGCTTATTTTACAGTCTAAAGTGTAGGTCAGCTATGACTTGCTATCACTAAACAAGGAGTCTTACTCCTTGCAAAACCAGCCTTCAGAGTAAGCCTCCACTTCTAAGTGCTTAGAAGCACTAAGGGCAACATCTGGGACAAACACTCACCTAGCAAAACATTCAAAGAAATCATGTATTTATGTAATTTTATCATGACTGAACATATGCATCCCTTAAGTACAGACTCAGACAGACATCATGAGATACTTAATCTGTAAGATAGCAGGAAAGCCAGAGACATGGAAATAGGAGAAGCTACTCAGAAGGGAAATTCTGAAGTTTTTAATTCTTCAGTTCTCATGGGTATTCTCAAGCAAATAAAGCACTAAAGATGATGCACAAAGATCTCTCATGGATTCCATCAGCTCCCAGGCAGCTTTTACAGACTGGGGGGCAGTCTCAGGCCTGTTCTTTTACGAATTAGATAACGATCAGTATTGCTGGATTCTGAAACAGAACACTGAGCATGTGCAGCAGAGAATTCCATAAACAGTGAGCTGCAGGCTGGGAGCAAACACCAGTGCACAGCTAATTAACAGCACTTTTTTTTTCCCCCCTCCAGAAACAACCAAGTGCTCTCACTGAATCCAAGATTCTGCAAATTCTGAACAAAAATAACCAAAACTTGTAAATGAAGTATTTTAACAATGCAAGGACTAAAACTTCTTCAGAGAGCAGCTAAAACCTCCTGCAATTAAACAGATATGGAAACAGCTGGTCTGTCAGCATTTGCTTTGCTTCAAGAAAACATTAAGTTTCACAAGTCAGAACAATTCATTCTTCTCATATTTTAAAGCTGCTATTATTACCAGTCCTTTTTAAGAAACTTACAAAGTTAAATTCCCCAACAGTGATAAGACCTACAGCTACTTCAGAACCTCAGCACACCTTTATTTTACTGATCAAAATCAGAACAAAAGGTTTGTTTGTATATTCAAAGCTCTGGTGGAGTCAAAACCACACAGACTATGGGAAGAATTAATCAGCTGGGGACTAAATCTAAACTGGTTTTAGACCTGTCTATTAATGTTCAAATTTGGAAACTGTACTTTTTAGAATTCTTAATGACACAATAGTCATTAATTTAGACTTGAGCATTCCTTCCTCCTAATACCCAATCCTGGCACTACTGAAGTTCCAGGCAAACTTGTCAGTAGTTTGATTACACAAATATTTAGTATTTCTACATTAAGCTGTATTCAATCAAGTATTTGCTGGAGCAGTCTAACACAAAGTGACAATTTCTGAAATACTAAATCATACCTGCAACTTTGTCTCGAATAAGTTTTGCAGATTCCACTTCGCCGATGCTGCTGAACAGACTCCGTAATTCATCCTGCGTCATATTCTGAGGGAGGTAGTTCACAATTAAATTTGTCCTACCAATATCATCCCTGCAGTCTTCAGCCATGTGATCTTCATAACCATTGGACATTTTACAATATATCTGCAAAGTGAAAAAATACGCAGTGAGGTTTAGAGCTTCACATTTCCATAAACCAAACTTCCTCCACCTGAAATAAGTTTGAATGTTTATTTAAAAAACTGGGAACAAGACAGTGCTTCAGCAATGCTGTTTTTCCAGCTCAGAAAACAAAATGCTATTTGTTGAAAATTCCGGAACAATTCATTCTTTCAAAAGCACAAACAGTTCATTTTACAGAACTATGTACCATTAAAGAGCTCCTCAGGATTTCTAGTCTTTTACATTAATAAAAAGCATCAAGATAGATTTTGAAGACATTCGTGTAAACACCAAAGTATTCCCAAAAACCAAGGTAAAAATCAGGTCCCCCATGTCCAAGTACTTGACCAGCCACAACCAAACTGCCACCTCAACCTGAATTCCAACTTTATGCCCAGAACTCTTTCAGACGTGGAGACAAGAAGCCACAAGATCTGACACAGTTCAGTGTGTTTCAACTGAGGACTATTAATTCTCTGAAAGCTTTCCCCTGTAAACGTTGTCTATCCTACACCTCAAGGCCTGTAATAGTTTAATGCTGCCTTTGGTGCTGCTTAACTGTGTGTACGAAACCGGTGAGCCTGTGCTGCACACTGACTTGGGGGCATATTGAGTATTCAACAGAGTTTCTATTTGTGCAGCTTTTTAAAGAAAGCCTTGAGAAAACATCCAGAATTCCTATCACAGGAAGATACTCTCTGCCTCAGTCCACCATCAGGGACTGAATCCTGGTGTTTTATTTGACCTACTCTACTAAAACTCACACCAGACTCAAACTGCTCATGGCTTGCTAGAATTCTAGTTCTTCAAGCACTTAAACTACTTTGAAATAGTCAAAATTGGGATATCTAAACCCTGTTTCTGCAACAGGATCTACAGATCTGGATCTGCTAAATAATAAGCCTTTGCAGGGACTGCACCACTGCTAACAGCCAGGAGTTGAACAATGGAAGAAGTCAGAAACAGAAACCGGAAATCCTCAGTATAGAAAGGGACATGAAGGGACTTCCAGGCCTTTTACCAGCAGCTACTGTTAATTCATGTCTGACAGTGAAGGTCAAATTTTTAAACAAATACCTGAGCACATCACTATAGAATAAACCATGAGAAGACTTATGCTAATTTGAGATTTAACACAGTATGGATTTTAAATAATCTTTATCTTTTCAATATGTGTTGAAGCATCAAGAGCTGACAGCTCTTGCTCCCCTTTACCCACAGATCAGGTTCTACCCCCATTTTTGTGTTTCAAGTGTCAACACAACCCCATTCCAGCACCCTCTGCTCACAGGATAACCAATCTGTACTGTGAAAGCAATGGAAAACCACACAGGAGGGAAGCCCTTTTGGTTGTGTCAGCAGTTTTAATCTGCTTTCCTTGCAGCAAGATAAGCACCAGTTAATGCCACAGGATAGGAGAGCAGGGGGAGGCATTGCAAAGCTGGAAGCAGGAGAAGAGACTCCCTGCAGCAGACAATTTTTAAGCTGCCAGGTCATCTCAGTTGTACTGCAAATTCTGTCATTAAATACACATTTCCCCCCTGGCTCTGACCACAATCTCAGAGAAGTTTCCTGTTCTGGTAAACAACACTCAAACAGCTGAACTGCCTCTGGTCACTGTGTCTAGAGTTACAAACCCACGTAACATGCATTTTCAGAATTATCTGAATAGAAGGCAATTTTGCTTGCCTTTGCCCTTTGCAAAATTCAAGCCCTACTAGCAGAACACACCAATATGTTGATGACTGCAAGTTGTACAGCACAACTAGAATATTTAGTAAGCAAAGGAAGAAACATTGAGATTTTTCCACTTTTAAGAGTAAAAAGTTAAAATTTCTTTCATTTTAACCAAATATGCCCTTTATTGTAATTTATTTATAACAGAAATCCTTCCTGCTGCTGAGATTAGGAAATTGCTATATATTGTAATGATTTCAAGAACAGACACTTAAGGATTGGTGTTTTGGCATTTTTTTTTTAATTCTCCAGGGTTTATCTGCTGCCTGAAAAGGAGGCACCACAGTCAGATACCAAGCAGAGAAACCTTCCCAGCACACCATGATGGCAAGTTACCACACTTACATTTGGCATAAAGCAGAATTTACAAGAGTTTGGCAAGTGGCTACTGACTTCCCATCATTGTTCCACATCCTCTAACCTGTCTGCAGTACTCACAGTCTACACCTCCAGATACTCCAGCAGTGCCTGGGCAGTGCTGATTCAGAGTCATTAGAAGGTGGAAAGGCAGCTGACACCTGCTTTTCTTCAGGCTTTTAGAAAGTAAAAATTAGAAGCCCTTGCATACAGGCCTGTCAAACGTTTCCATGGGATACCAGGAACAAAGCATGCAGGAGCAATAAAGGCACAGTTAAGAGCTAAAGGAGCACCGAGAGAGATGCTTCTTTCTTTCTCTAATCTCTTGCTGAGCACTTACACAATCTGCTGCAGGACTAACCTTGTCCAGCAAGCCTGGAAGTCAGTGGGAAACCACTTCCTCTGCTGGTGAGGTGTTAAGGAAACTCCCACATTCAACTGGTCTGATGCCACTCTGGTGGTCCCACTGGCAGCACTCCAGACTGGTACTGCTGGGATCAAAGCCCCTTTGCACCAGTGGCTCCAGTGACCCCACAGGCCCCGTGTGACTCCCCGCACACCCCACACTCTCCCAGTCAGACCAGCTCCTCTCACCGGCTCGGCCCCAGGTTTCCCATAGCACAGTCCCAGACTCCAGTTCCTTTGTGGTACAGTGACACAGAACAGCTTGAGCTGGTGCCCCTGGGGAGGGACCCTGGACAAAGCCCCCCTGGGCTATGCCCCTTCCATTCTGTGCCCAGCCTGATGCTGATGTTCTGTCGAGGGTCTTCTCAATGTGTCAGGGGAGGTTTAGGTTGGGTATTATGAAAAGGTTCTAGAAGAGGGTCCCCAGGGAAATGGTCATGGCCCCAAGTCTGTCAGAGTTGAAGAAGCCCCACCCAGAACAACCTGCAGGTCACGCTCCCACTGCCCACCTACACCAGGTGTATTCCTCAAGTGAAAAGTTCTCATGCCAGCAAAGTTAAAAAGAGCTCCTGAAGAATTGTAACCTCTGCATACTGAAAAGATTTACAAAATGAAAAGCAGCTATAAGATAGGATGGATGAATCAAGCAATGCTACACTGGAAAACAAGTTTTTATTCTGCTCTTACTGAAATATGCTGAGAGAATGTCCTGATCTTTCTTTACCAAAGAGATAACAATCCATTTCTATCAGTAAATATTACAGATTTGAGAACCAGGCCTAGACATTAATTCGCATCTAGAACTTCATTAACTGACGTTTGCCAATCCACAATGACATAAATCTAAAGACTGAATGCATTTATATTCCCAGAGGATAGGTCAGTGATGGCAAGAAGGCCCAACGGCTCCACTTAGGAAAGCTGACTGAAAAGAGACTGGTAGTTTGCAACCTTTCCAAAACAGGCCTTCATTTTTATGCCCCCAAAAACTAAAACTTTTAAGACTAGGTTCCACTGCACTGCACTTCCTAAAATGACAATTTTTTAAAAAATAACCAAATGCTGCAGAAACTTGTTTCAAAGGGCAGCAGCCACCTTCTTCCTTGGGTAACATGCTTAAAACTTACAATGCCAAGAGTGCACAGAGCAACAACAGGAACCATGTGTGCTGTGCCTGAATCTTCCACTAATTCTGGAGGTGCTCAAATCCACGAAGCCAAACACTTCATCACCTGTGCCAATGACTGCTCAGGCACTCTCAGCCAGGCCAGCACTCTCATGAATGGATTGAAAAGCTCTCATGGGCATTATTTGCAGAAATTTTGCACTGACCATGACAATCACCGCACAAAAGCACACCAGATCCCACAGGTTTAATGGTTCTGGCAACAGACCAATCAAAGTTTTTTTCCGAATGACACTCTGTATCTCCATTCAGAATTCTAGAAACATTGCTATTAATTATTTCACTGCAAGATTTGCAGTTTTCTAAGAAGGAAGACCTGTATGGATCTGTGGAGATCATGTGAAAGGAGAACACTGGCAGGAAGAACTATCTTCAACGTCAGGCAAGAGGCTCTGTCTACCTTCACCTTGTTCACAGGACTAAAAAGGCACCAACCCACTACTGGTGTCACAAACTAGTACGTAGACATCTAAACAGGTGCTCGCAGAATCCCAGGATAGCTGGGTTGGAAGAAACCTTAGAGACCATTTAATTCCACCCCCTACCACAGGCAGGTACACCTTCCACTATCCCAGGCTGCTCCAAGCCCCATCCAGCCTGGCCTTGGACACTGCCAGGGATCCAAGGGGCAGCCACAGCTGCTCTGGGCACCCTGTGCCAGCCCCACCCCCTCAGGGAACAATTCCTTCCCAATATCCCATCCAGCCCTGCCCTCTGGCACTGGAAGCCATTCCCTGTGTCCTGTCCCTCCAGGCCTTGTCCCCAGTCCCTCTCCAGCTCTCCTGGAGCCCCTTTAGGTCCTGCAAGGGGCTCTGAGCTCTCCCTGGAGCCTTCTCTTCTCCATGTGAGCACCCCCAGCTCTCCCAGCCTGGCTCCAGACCAAAGGGGCTTCAGCCTTCAGAGCATCTCCATGGCATCCTCTGGCTTCATTCCAGCAGGTCCATGTCTTTCTTGCACTGGGGTCCCCAGAGATGGAGGCAGCTCTTCAGGTAGGATGGATGATGGATCAGAACTTAAGATGGGAAATTCTTCCTGGACCAATGAGCTCTGTGGCACCTTGACTGGAGCACTGGGAATGGGCCACAGTGAGCACAGCATGATCCTTAGACCACAGCAGAACTGAGGCTGCTGACCCAACTAGTCACCCAAAATCTCCATCTTTCTTTGCAGTGAAGTGCAGGTCAGCATCAGCCAGGACACTATACAGGAAGGGCTTCAGTGGACAGTTCCTGGCAGAGTCCCTGAACTGGTGAAATCTCCTTGTTGGTGCTGTAATTGGTAAAGGAACAGGAACTCT